CCGAGTGGTCGCTGACCTCGGGGCTCGCGGTCGTGAGTTTGCGCGGGTGGCGTAGGCAGCTGTCGGCCTGAGCACGTGCAACCATTCGGACAGTTGCTTGAAGCCACACCGTGTGCGTCTATGTGTAAAAGCAGAAATCACGTTTTAAAGTAGCAGCATGGTGTAAGTCTATGTTTTCAATGAGAACTCTTGAATCTCAGATTTTGAAAACTTCTGATTTCAGTTTCTCAGTGGGTACCAGTATGAATTGGGCATAATCATGTCCATGTGGGTTACACATTTTCCGATTGTCAGATACTTAAAATTAGCGTCTGTATGAGTTTATGTCTTGTAACATTCCTTAAACATTCTCTAGGGCACACCGTAATTTTCACGTTATTATCTCATACTTTGGCTTTAATAGGATTGGTAAAAGTTTTGAAGTTTTAATTTCAGTTTTTCCCACTGTTCAGAATTTGATGATATAAAATGAAAAGAGGTTTCCATAGTTGCTAACATTCACCAGATTTTGTTCCTAAGCATGGGCCTTAGTGGACTTTTGAATTAAATCCACATTCTCCACCCAAGCCTAGTGACATAATCCAACAGTTCAAAGATAGGTATGCCATAAACAGCTATAGTTAAATAATCTAAAAAAAAATTAAAACATGGAAATACAATAAAACAAGAATTGATCACTTTATAGTGGAATACTCTATAAACTGTCTGCATTGGAAACATGTGGTGAGTTTTAAAACATCTGATTTCTATAATTCTAAAGTGTGTAGTTTATTTGAAGGCACAAACTTTTTTTTTCTCCTCTGCATATGTATATAAGAATAGAGGTTAATATTTTTTTTGCTGTTTTGATTTGTATTCATTGACTTATTTTTAATTTAGAGAAATCACTTTGGAGTACAAATACATAACATAAATATATTCACCTCAACTAAATATTTTATCATTAGGTACTGAAGTCTGACCATAAAGAGATTAATGCTGTAAATCTTGCTACTTTTTGTCTAAAACAGAAATCACATGTTACCATAAACTCAAATAATAAGCAGAAATTTTTTAAAACCATATGCGTGGTACAGAAAGGTATCCGGGTCTTTAATTTTTATGGTCATTTAAATTAAAAAAAATTCTTTTTAAGGCAAGCAGGCTCATCTGAGTGGCCTTGTACTGCTTGTGTGATAATTACAGGAGCTGAACTGTACTTGCGGTTTTGCAATGTCATGTCTGCACAGCCTCATCTAACTAGTTAGCCGAATCATCCAGCCCTCCCGTGAGGGAGCTGACTAAACTCTTAACCATCACAGAAACTGCTGTCTGTGGATTACAGTGTTTTGCATGGAACAATTCACTTTGTCTTCTGAGTTGCCTAGAAAGTTACATTGCGTGTGTAGACGATGTTACAGTCGCCTTCTGGGGAAGTGGAGCCGCCTTTGCAGAGCCGTGGAAAGGCTAGTTCGCCTTCTTACCCGACTCACCTTTTTTTTAAGGGATTTTTCGTAAACTGACAGTATCCCCCAAGACACGTAAAGTGAGAATCTACTCTTCAGTATTGGAAATAGATTCGCATGTCAGTCTCAGAACGCAGTGTCCTTCCCGCTGTGGGATTTTGTGCATCCTCTGTTTTCTTTTCACCTCCACCTGTTCCTCCTGCAAAATGACTGGTGTTTATAAGGAACCACTTTTTGAGGTTGGGAAGAAAGGCGCGTGTGGCTTAGAGTGAGTGTGTCACACCTGACTCCAGCCTGGCTGGGAGCCCCGGCCCTTGAGGGGGCTTCAGATACCCCAGCCCAGGGCCTGGGGGAGCCCCGCTGAGTGAGCCCTGGGAGACTGCAGGTGGCCGGGCTCTGAGGCACGGGGGCTCCTGGGGACGCCCTGCTCTGGTGCCCCCGTCACCACAGGACAATACCCTGGAGCATGGACCTGCAGCCGACACTTCACTTCCGGGCCTCGCTGTCCGGCCCGTTTCCCAGGGAAGGTGGCACTGGCTGTTTGCTAAGCTTTGCTCCAGTGTGAGAGGGTCCCAGGCGAACGGTGTCCACACTGAGGTGCTTCCATGTCTGGGCTGTTGTCGACAGTGCTGCTGTGGACACTGGGGTGCACGTGTGTCTTCGAATGGCATTATTTTATTCCTTTTTATGACTCAATAGTATTCCATTATAGATATGTGTGTGTGTGTGTGTGTGTGTGTGTATGTATTATACACCACATCTTCTTTATCCAGTCACTGCCGATGGACATTTAGGCTGTTTGCATGTCTTAGCTGCTGTGAACATTGGGGTGTATGTGTTTTTTCGAATTAGTTTCCTTTGGATATACGCCCAGGAGTGGGATTGCTGGACATTTGGTAAGTCTATTTTTTAGCTTTTTGAGGACTCTCCATGCTGTTGTCCGTAGCAGCTGCTCCAGACCACGTTCCCACCAGCAGCGTGGGAGGGCTTCCTTTCCTCCACAGCCTCTCCAGCCCTTCTCCTTTGTGCACTTTTTAATGAAGGCCGTTCTGACTGGTGTGAGGTGATGCCTCACTGTAGTTCTGACGTTCATTTCTCTGATAACTAGCCATGTTGAGCACTTTGTCGTGTGCCTCTTGGCCCCTTGTAGAGAGAGACTCATAGTAGGAGGAAATAGTGCCTGCAGGCACCGCGGGCGTCCTGGGCCCTGGGTCTCCCACTGCGCACCTGTCGCGCCTGTCTCGGGGCCAGATCCCTGACCTGCTCTGCAGGTGAGGTCACCAAGCAGTGGCCGACCACGAAGCTGGATGCATGGCCTGTGGCCCCAAAGCTGCGTCCTTCCCGGGGTGCAGGCCAGCTGCTCCTGCAGAGACCCAGGGACGCCTCGCCCAGTTTTTAAAATAAAAGGTCTGTCAGGTAATGTGATTTCCTGCTGAGAAAAAGAAAGCTTAATTTGAATCAGTTGCTCATTTACTTCGTGGAACCAAAGGCTCAGTATAGGATTCGGTTTATGGGCCCATTTTACTGAGTGGAAAATAAACGAACATAGATTTGTTTAGAAAATGTACTTGATCACCGCAGACTCAAACCAGGCATTTTAAGCCAGGAATAATCTTGTCTGTGAGGGGAATATTTATTACACAGAGGGGAGTAAAGACTCAAAGAGCTGTTAACACACTATTCTTACTTTGTTTCATTTTAATGGCGATGGGAGAGAAGTCCCGTCCAGCCTGACCTCCCCTGTGGCAGGCGTGGAGGAGCGGAGGGCGGACAGGAGGGGCCTCTCTGCTGTGCCCCGTCCTGCTCCACAGGGAAGAAGAGCTCCCCTCGCCCAGAACGGGGGTCGGGAGCGGTCTGGGTGGGGAGCCCAGGGCCATGCACCCCGCGCTCGCTCTGTCCCTGCAAACCCGGCCTCAGTGGCCACAGTGTCCCCATCATTCTGTCTCGCTGGTGCTTTTTGTTTTTCTTTTTCACTTTCCCCTGTTTCAGCTCACCTGCCAAAGACGGTCCAATGAGATAATATTTTGTTACAGGCCCATGCGGAGCTTTCTGGTGACCCAGAAGAGCCCCGACCGGCGGGGCAGGTCCTGTGCCCCTGGGTGGCGTAAGCCCCCAGGGCACTGAACAGCCAGGGGGGGAGCTGCTCACAGTGCCTTGGTCTCAACACCCCCACCTCCGCTGCCTAGTGTCCACACAGTCGGAGGCGATGGGTTCACCCAGCTGGTGTCTGCGAATCGGTGCCCGGTTGTGTTCCCAGGCATGTGACTACACGTGGATGTGTATTTGCTGGGTTTCGTACTGACGTGAGGGGCCAGGTGGGCAAGAGTAGGGGGCGGTTCCCAGAGGTCATTCTGGTGTTTGCTGCTGAGCACTGCCGTCCAGGCAGGTGTCAGGCTCAAAGCTTTGAGGTCGGGGGAGAGGAGCACTTGTGCTTGGGGAGTGCTGGTGCTTTGGGGCGTGATGTGGACTTCATTACTGCCCTCGAGGCAGGTGCTGCAGGGGCCCTGGGTGCTGGGGGTCGGGGGACCCAGGCTTTCTGAAGGCTCCGGAGGGCAAATACGTTTATGAAAATGTGCCACCCTTCTGCTTCTGAGCTGGGGGCGGGGTCTGCCTGAGGTCAAGGAGGTCGAGGGCTAGCGTGTCTGTCTTCACGTCTTTGTACTCAGGAGACCCCGTCCTGATGGAAAGCACGGCTCTCAAACTGCGGGCCAAGGACTCTGCATCAGGGCTCCCCCAGGACCTGTTAAAATGTGCACTTCCAGACTTTCTGGACCAGAATTTTAAAGGGTTGGGGATTGGAAACCTACATGTAGAAAAAAGCATCCCCAGTGATTCTTCTCACACTGAAGTTTGAAAACCACTCTTCCAGAGTGATAAATAAACTCCATTGCTTCAAAGGGCAGAAAGTTTCTGACATCACTGGGGACGCTGGTCTGCGTGGCGTGGATGAAAACTACGCGCAAGGTGAAGCGGCTCTGAGACTTTCTCTTCGTGAAGGTTCTTCCCCAGAATGGTCACCATCCTAAATGCTGCTGTGAAAATGGGCACAGCTCATGGTGTTACTTGCCTTTGCCTGCTGACTCACTCAGATAATTGGCGTGTGGAAAAGTTTAACTAGAAAAAATTGAGACTCTTCTGTGCTTTAGTCATTATGAAAAAAATTAGAATGTAGTTAAATTGATAGAGTTAAGCAGTTTTTGCAAAACGCATTAAAATGGGCTCAAATCAGTGTTTCCTCACCGATTATGTGATGTAGCAATTGCTTTAAATGCAAAAAGTAGCTAATGCTGCAAAATACCCGCTCTCTCTCTCCCCCCCAGGAGAAGCTAACCCAGGAGTGTGTGTTCAGAGAGCAGTTTGAAGAAAACTGGTACAACACGTACTCCTCGAACCTGTACAGACACGCGGACACAGGACGGCGGTACTACGTCGCCCTCAACAAGGACGGGAGCCCCAGAGAAGGAGCCAGGACTAAGCGGCACCAGAAATTCACACACTTCTTACCCCGGCCCGTGGACCCCGACAAGGTCCCCGAACTGTACAAGGATATCCTGAGCCAAAGCTGACAAAGACAGCTTCTCCGCTCGAGCCCTTAGCAAGTAGCCACTATACAGGTTTCACGCGGTGGGTTCCTCTCGGTTTGCTGTCATCACATCAGCTCCACTGTTGCCAAACTTTGTCGCATGCGTAGTCTGACGGCGGCGTGGTGGGGGTGCTGGTTTTGTCCCCCCACTGGGGACCGCCTGCACCTGCTGGCGGGGATGGAGGGGTGCAGAGGGTGGAGGCCGAGGGGTGAGCGGTTGGGGGGTGAGCGGCAGGACTCGGGAATAGAAGGGAGTGGAGGGGACTCGCCGATGCATGTGGGGTTAGACGTCCTCTGTCCTCGCCAGCACAGCTGCCACACCGACCATCAGGACCTGGCCGCGCGTCTGCAGGGGCGCGGGGGTGCGGTCCTCCTTAAGAGTTGTCCTCGGTTCATTCTCACGGGTGTCATCCCAGTGAACTGACAGAAAAGACCTCTTAGTAAAAAAAAAAAGTTAAATTTATTTATAGAAATTCCAAAGGCAACATTTTATTTATTTTATATATTTATTTATTATATAGAGTTTATTTTTAATGAAACATGTACAGGCCAGATAGGCGTTTTGGAAGCTTTGGGCTCTGTAAACATTAAATGGCAGCGTCCACTACGAACCTGTGGTAAATGCACGCAGCAAGCGCTGCGTGCATGGGTTTGAGACATTCAAATGGCCCTCACGTCCGAAAGGCGACAGTCGCTTTTGTGCCCGTGTGATTGTAAACTGACGCATTCGTTCACGACACTGAGTACCCACTCTCCAGACGGCTTGTTCCGTAGCTTACCCCAGAGGATTAAAGATCAACTGGGTCTCAAACTTTTATTCTGTGTCTGTAATATTTGCTCTCTCCCAAGTGACTCCCTCCATCATTGTAACATCATTGGAAAATAGGAAGTGTAAGGGTTGGCATAGCACCGACTTGTTTACGTCTATCGCGGGTATACCAAAGCTAAACCATAACTATGCTGTTATTCTGTCTGTCTCCGGAATAACAGGACTAACATTGAGCATCACCGATTTAGAATTCTCAGAAAGGAAGAAAGCTTACTTGGCACTGATCTTTTTTTTCAGGGGACAAGAATCAGAGTCAGAGTAACAGGATAATTCATGTAAACTTTTAATTTGTGCACTTGGCTCTCAAATGTGAAACTGGACAAGTACCTTAGGGGTCATCGTGACATCTTTTACGGGAAACTGCGTCCAGTGTGACCTGTCATAACACAGGGTCACAGACCCTTTCAGGTGAAGCTTGCAAATCTCCATCAGTAATGACGATGAGGGAAAGTATGCACTTGTTGACTGTTTTGTTTTTAAAGTAGTCTTCACAAGCGCTCGGTCTTTTTAGAGGGAAGGTTACTACACAGAATATCTTTTACAAGGCTTTTATAACGTTTTATGCTGAAGAGCATAAGAATCCATATTCCTTTAGCAGCAATAATTTTGAAACTTGCCCTTGGGCAAGGGAGACTGTTTCTTACTATATACTAAGGAGAAAAGAGCCAAATTCTTAAAGCAATATTTAAAAAAAAAATTTGTAACAAATTCTCATACCGCATAGAACACTTTCTAGCCGGTTATGTGGGAAATTGAAAGTGACAGTTAAAAATGTGTTGGGATTTATGTAACTAATTTTAAAACTTAATATTCCAACTCTGTTTTGCTCTGATGCACATTCTTTATGAAAAATAAAAGTATGTCACTGGTGAGTTAAAGCTGTTTTGAAGCGGAGGCACATGGCTTACTGTCGTGAGCCCCTGGGGCCCTCCTGGGGTCCAAACTGGAGTGGAAGCAGGGCCCTACTGGTGATGTGCATTAAGGAAGAAGTAGGTCTAACATGTGGAATCGAAAAATACTGTAGGGGGAGGGGACAGAAGCGACGTGAAGTAGTTGATTGATGATAAAGGTCTGAATGTTCTCTTCATTTATTTTCTTGGGTATTTCTTTTCAACTTTCTGAACAGAAAGTGCATTTAATTCCAAGATGTAGTATTCTTATTTATTATTTAACCCTTTGCTGCTGCTAAAATGCACATATTCAGGCTTTAGTTTTTCCAAAAGGCATTTAATTAATATTTGTGGCTGAAAAACATTCAACATCTCACCATAGGGAAAAATCAAGGTTCTAGGATGTCATAGGTACAATATTTAGCACGGAAGACATTGATTTTAGGAGATAGCCAAAAGTAATCGTACAGTAGCATGAGGCGGGAGATAATCAGCCTAAAAGAAAGAAAACAATTTGGGAAGAAGACTAAACTCTTCATGCATTCCTAGAAAATGCTACTTTCACGTCTACTTTTGGAGCTCTTTTGTTTTGGTAACTTTTTTTTTCCTAAAGCAAAACAAAGTGCTATGTGCTTTGGGCAACTGATACAATAAACTGTAATGGTCTGTAAATAAATAAATGCTGACTTATGCAATTTCTGTACAGAAGTGTTCCTGGAGAGTAGACGGCTCAGGGTCTGGGTGCAGGCGGCGTCCTGCTGGGCCACAGAGGGCGTCACCCCGGCTCCCGGCTTTGCATCTGGCTCGTGTAAGGGATCCAAAGCCTGAGTCACTGCGGAACACTGAGGCCAGTTTTCACAAACAGAAGCCCAGCCAGCCAAACCGCTATCTTCCTGGTGCCAAACACTGCACCTCGGGCACAGACTTCACGGGCATGGACTGGCCCACCCCCCCATCTGTCATGCGAATGTCCCCAGGTGGTGTCGAAGGACCTGCCAGGTCACCAGTGGGGCACCCAGCCCGGCCAGGTCCCGTTCCGTAGATAAGTGGGCGGCTTCAGTGGATGGTTTTCATTCTATTTCATCTCGTTAACACTGCAACCTTGTGTTACTTACGTGATAATCTGTAATTGTATGTAAATGCACACAGGATCATGTAATTTGTGTAAATACATAATTACAGACTTTTGAAAACTGGCCTTTTTTACTCGATGTCCATTTTGGAGCTGCTTCAGACTCTGTGCCCACGTGAGCCAATGGGATTTTCGGAACACGACCGCCTGGCTCTGCTAGCTGCTGTGTGTGTGTGTGTCGAGGGGACGAGGTGGTCCGGGGAACGGGGTGGGGGATAGACATCCCGCTGTCTCGTCTCTTCTGTAAGCGTCATCTTCCAGGGTAAAGGTTTACGAGCTCACATCAGGCAGGACGCAGTGTATGCACGTCAGCTGGGAGAATGGGCAGGAGCATGCTGCGGGAGGTCGGATTCTGTTGGCTGCATCATTTGACCTTGAAATGTGCCAAATTTAGATCTACTGTTTGTGGTCACTTGCTCGAAAGAGCCGTGAAGTGGCGGGGGTTGGGGAGAACGCCAGGTGGATTTGAAAGCTGTGTTGGCACCACACCGGGGGGGGTGTGTGTGTGTGAGCGTGTGATACACTCGATGTGACACTTGCATGTGTTCCACCTCCTGCTGCCGCGCCAGCGCACACTCGCCAGGCTGGCGGCCCTCCGGCTCTAAGCTCGGACGGCCGTTGTGCCGGCCACCAGGGAGGCAGGCGCACCATGAGAGAGAGGCCTCTTCGCTGCTCCAGCTGGTGGTAAAAGGGAACGTTCCGGCTCCGGTGGCTCCTTGTTCTCTAGCTCTCTCCCAGCTTGTGTCTTGGAAAACATTTAAAAACAGCTTTAATGGAAAAAAAATTACAGGCACCCCAGATACTCAATAGCCCCTGGCCAGCCGTGCTTGTAACTGGCTCGTGCCTTTTTCCCTCTGTCCCCCCCGAAGGTCCTTCCAGTTACGCCTGTGGTTCTGGTTCTGACTCCCTTGTTATCAGCAGGCTTAGCAGGAACACCTGGCCCTGGGAACCAAGGAGTCAGAAGACAAGGTTCAACGAGGTCAGCGGGGGCTGAAGAGCAGGCTCTGTCCTCCTCGGGTAACTGGTGGCGGGCACAGCTGCCCACGATCCTGGCTCAGCGTGGAGAAACATCTTTGTAAGAACACCTGTGCAGGCTTTTCCCTGACTGTTTTGTGGGATGTCGTAAAGCATTCTGTAAACTCCACCTGGCCGTCACCTCTGGCTTCCGGAGTACCCATGTGTGTGTGGGGCTGGTCCGCGGCAGCTTGGCTGAGATTTCGGCTTCTGACTAAGAAAAGGGGCTTTTCCTAGTCTGTGAAGGTGTTAGAATTACAACGGCCCTTTCACAAGGAAGTGATGCTCCAAACACCTCTCCCCTTGGTGGCTGACAGGTCCTCTCCCCTCCCTCCCTCCATCCCTCCTTCCCTCATTCTGTGGGGTGGAGCTTGAGAGACAGGCATGGTCCTGACGGCACACGGGGAGTTTACCTGACAGGCAGGCGCACTGTGATGGACGCTGGGGTGGGAGGGTGCCGGGCCGTGGGGCGTATGGGTGCCGCTGAGGACGTTTGAGAGCCCGAGGTCGCCCGTCTCAAGCGAGATGCAGAGGAGCAGGAGGTACAGCAGAGAGAGCCCGCCGGCCCTGGCTTTCCAAAGGCGTCAAGAAGGTGCACGGCTCGTGGAGAACGTGGGCTCCTTGGATGGTTGTCTGATGTTTCCTGGGTGCTTGTGAGGGACCTGAGGATGTGGGAAGCGCTGGTGACGTGGAGATGGCGGGGACCAGACTTCAGTCAGGCCAGCCGGGCTGCCCTGCGTCCCCGGGGCCACGCTCAGGACGCTCCTTTCTGACTTCTGGTTGCCGTTCAGAGGAAGGTGACTCTATTTGCTTCTGTTAACTTTACTCACTTTAGTTGTCCCCCTCACATTTACCTCATGTCACAGGCAAAACCCACAACATAATGGCGATGGAAATACAGGATAATAAAAGAGGTGGAAATACGATCTTTAAAAATCTACTTCTTTCTTTCAATAAGTATGTATCAAGCAACTGCTATAGGACACAGGACACTGCTAAGGACATACCAGAGGAAGAAAAGACAGTATTCTGATTTTGTTACTCAAATGCCAGGCTGGGTTCCACGTCAACTACCACACAAACGTGCAGGCCACGATGCCGTGGGACTGGGGTGCCCACGCCGCGAGGCAATTAGGACAGTGCTGACAATTTCCCACGAACTTCACCGTCTTCTATTTACGTGAATTTAGAAGAACCCAGTCAGACACAGCCCCCTTCGAGGCCATTGCTGCAAGTGGGGCAGCGCTGTAGGAGTGTCCTCACATTGGATGATACAGATTTTCTCAGTAGATGAGTCCCTCCTTGGCAGTAGATGAGTTTCTTTTGAAATAGCAACCCCATTTTTCCTCCCTTGGAAAAATCCAAAGGAAAAGGCACTAGAATTCCAAAAATTTGTCAGTTACGTATTTGTGATGTCTTTTAAGGACACCTCCCCTGCCATACAGACGGTGGGCCTGTAACAGCAGCTTTTACACTGCAGGCACGAAGTTACGCATCTTGGTTAGAGGGATGGAACGTCCCGTTCTGTCTTCACAAGAATTAAACCCTGTAGTGAATCAGCTTCTGTTTTTCCTGCAGCTTGCTTTGGTCTCCTCCTCTGGTTATGGGCGCCCCAGCTTCCCGCTGTCTTGGGGCCCTTCCCTCCTTGTGCCACGCTGAAGGAGCAGAGGTGCATATATGCCTGTTACAGAGTAAGCAGAGCTGATGGAATGTGATGGATGGTCTTTAGAATTTCTCCAGAACAGTTTCATGATGCTAAGTTTGGTTTTGGGAATGCGGGTTAATTGAATCAGAGTGGCACTCCAGGCGGGGCATATTGACGAGAAAGGAAACTCACCACGCCGGCCCCTGGAGGCCCACAACCTCAGGGCAGAAATTTCCCTCATGCTGCCGTTCACCCAGTGTCATGCCATCAAGAGACCGATTTGAGTTATGAATGATACTTTGGGAGGTGGGTGCAAAATTTGAAATCAGATTCTTTCTTCCCATGATCACTTCCATGAAGCAATTTTAAATTTTGAATTTTGTGGTGACTCTACTGTCTGTGCTCTTTCTTCCTCCTGGCATATTTCCTTGTCAAGGAGGCTGGATCCCACTCTTATCCCAGTGCATTCATTTGGTTCCAGATGCAAAATGCTTATTTCTTTTAAAATGTAGATTATTAAGTGAAAGAACTTTATTGTATTAACAATGCTTCCTGCTGAAGTATGTGAATTAACCTGCCTGAAAGTACAGTCTAGTCACATCTAGCCCTGTGCCTCATTCTGCACTCCACGTGGTCCTGAGCATGTCCCCAAATGCAGCAGTACCTGGAAATGGCCCAACTGCTCTCAGATGAGCTGTTCTATGTCCTAATTAGCTGGTTGCTATAGACACGTGGGTCATGTTTATTTTTCAAATAGCAGGAGCTCAAATTATAGGAAAACTAAAAATAAAATAGAAAGAATAAATATTGTAGTTTGGATAAGTAAAATTTTTTGTAGTCATGGGTCACATTTAGTGCTTAAAATTTTTTTAAACCTTTAAAACCTGGTCAACTATTGAGTTTTATTCTTAGGTAAATGCATGATTTTTCAACATGTCTATATAATACCCAGTGGATTATTTAAAACCTGCCCAAAATTTAAGTGAAGGGAACTCTTCATTGAAACTCATTAATTTATTCAGCAAGCAATTATTGACATGGACCATATTGCAGGGATTAGGAAAGCAGCACAGAACTGGTAAAATCGGTTTCATATACACTATGAATATAAATGACTCACTTAGCGCGTGCCTACCACTTGTGAGAGCGCCAGGAGTTACCTGCCGTAGCTTTTCTTCTTGTCTCCTTTGTATAAAACACCGCTTCTTTCTGGAGAAGAGGACTGGGATGTGGTTTAATGCAGAATATTATCTCTTTAAAGCAGATACTTTATAATATACTGGACTTACGCCATTGCGAAATCTTCTTTTCACTCCCATTCAACTGGACACTTAAAATTGTTCTCAAAGGTATTCCTTCTTGCTTTGACTTTGAGTTGAAAAATGTCTTGGAAAAACAAAACATGCATAAAGTCAATATGATGTAATTTAGCATTCTTTTGGGTCATGTTTTATAATGATTATTCTATATTTGTAGAACAGTAGTTAAGTTTCCAAATTCCTGGGTGACTGTTTTTATCTTGGAAGCATGTGATGGCTTGTCATGAAGTGGTCTTTTTTGGGAACCACACCCAATGGTTCTGAGCACACTCAAGGAACTGTATTAAGGAGCATGTGAGAAATATGTGAACAATCTATAAATACATTTGACTAATGACTGCTCTCTAGAAAGGGTCTATACTGTGATTAGTACATGAGGACAGGAAAGTTACCTGAGGACAGGGAAAGGACCACCCTGAAGGATGGGAGGTAACAGTACTGGAGCTTACACAGGGTGAGGAGCAGTGCCTCTTCCTTCCAGCCAGAGTAGTGAACCTCCAGATTCACAGGGCGTTGTGTGGCGTGCACAGAAGGGCCTCAGCTGTGCAGAACAGTTAACCTTAGGCTAAACACTGTTCTAGTTCTACCTAACA